ATCCTTAATAAAACAAACTGCATACAATTTATTTAAAAATAAATTATGTCATAACTTTTAATTTGTCCCACAAAAATTATTTTTTGCAGAATTTTTAATTCATTTTTTAATTCAGAACCATTTTTAAGTATAAAATTTTAAAAAAAAACAGTAACGGTCAAAATGACCGCTTTGGGCGTTCTGCTACCTGAGAGTTTTATGCTATTTCCGAATCTTCGAAGAGTTTTTTTATCATATGAGATCGTACTACAATCTTGTCTGTCAGGTCGTTCGCATATGCCAATTAATGAGCTGTTTGTTGCTATTTCTTATTGAACGAGTAACCTTCGATGTATTTGAGAACATGAAGGAAAGATGTGTTTTTACAATAAATATAAGTTGTCAATTAAATAAGCTATAAACTATGAAAAAAAGCAGCATTTGATGACGAGATAGGTAAAAGCAACACAAGTACGTTGCTTAATGTTACACGCGAATTAAAGTTTACTAACTGTTTCTTTAATTATTCAAAAGCGCAAAATGGCGAATGTATTCTCGTAGACTGAGAAAACTTCGTCAGTTATTTATCTCTAAAATTGAGTAATTGCCTATGTTTCAGTATGTGTTATAATCTAATAATCAAAATTAATTGGTCTCTAATGAATATATATATTGCTTCTTTTGACAATTGAAACATTATACATATGTCTTGATGGAACTGTTTTGATAAGTTTATATCGCAGAATAATTTCGATTAATTAGAGTCCGTTTGTGTTTCTATTTTTGTATCTTGTATGTGTTATGTCAAAAACTATATATGTTACTTTTGTGTCTCTGTTTATGTCTATCAGATTGTTTTCTTCTAATCGAAACAAAATAAAACAAAATAAAGCAATATATATATAAATTGTCTTCTTTTTCTTTGTCATCAATACAGCTGTGAGACTATACCTTTGCTTAAATATTCCCATGAGAAAAATTCTTGAATTTTTTTTGCTGTACACAATTACTCAAGTAGCATCCAGTCGTTTTTGTTTAGTGTTGATAAGTGGTACTAGAGAATGTGTGTCTGTTTGCGTCGCTGTTTCGAAGAAGAGAAAAAATATAGATAATGCAGCAAAAAAAAAAAGAAAGAAAGAACAGAGAGAAGAAGAATTAACGAGCACAATAAAAAACAACAACAAAAAAAAAAGAAGAGTTTTCAGAGGGCAAATAAAGACATTTAAAAAAAAGTATACATATATATATTGCATCATAAAAAGAGAAATAAAATAAATGATGAATGACACTAAATACCAAAAGTCGATTGGCATACATTGGTTTGGCCCTATAAACTGTAGATAAAATATTACGATTCGTTTAAAATAAAAATATCGTTCGTTCAATATATGTGGATAGATACAATGTTAGTTGTATATAGAATATAGCGATAAAAATTCAAATCAAGTAATAGCTAGCGTTTGATGTTAATAATATTTGGTTTATCACTGACAACTATAATAAATAATAACGTAGGAAATAAGACTATTGGGAAAATAATACTATTCATAATAATTGAATTATTATCATGAAATTTTTTTACGTTGTAAGCTTGTAGAGTAAAAGAAAAATAGATCAAAAGTTCATTTAAATCAACGGACGAAATTTGTTTTTTTATTGAGATTAAAATTCTTCAAATTCTTTTGAAAACTTTTCCGTTGTCGCAATACGTACTAAAAAATAACAAATAATATGAATTATAAGATTTTTCAATCAATTATTTTATATTTTAAGATAAAGATTTTATTACACTTACAAGGCTCTTCTTCATAATCATCAAAATTACTTGCATCACCCGGTCCCTTGGTTTTTGGTATAAATGGAGGTTCAACCTAGAACAAAGATTATATAAATAATTTTAATTATCAGCTATTGCATTTCAAAACAAAATCAAAGTTCTACTATTGAAAATATTATTAGTCCATTTGACATTCAACTAAATCAATTAATGTTAATTAGAAAAGTATTATTACTATACAATATTTTGTTATAACTATAAATTTACTTTTCTCTGATAAATAGCTATCCAATCTGTTGTCGAAAACCATTTATGTTGTTTAATATCATCGACTCCATTTTTGAGATTGCCATATCGTTTTGTTAAATCAACTTGTAATAAATTTCTTAAAATATCTTTTAGATCGCTACTAAAATGAGATGGAAATCTCACCTAGAAAATAAAAAAGAGGAAAATCAATATAAATTTTTATTTATACACAAATCAAATAGTTGTATGCTAACTTTTCCAGAAACAATTTTTTCATAGATTTGAATCGGTTGATCAGCAAAAAATGGCGGATAACCCGCTGACATTTCATAAGCAAGAACTCCAAGTGCCCACCAATCTATAGAATAAAGAAAAATTGGACAATATGTTAGATGTTACTATTTATCAATAAGGCATACCAACAGCTTTGTTGTATCCCTAGAAAAGATAAATTGTAATTAGAACATGAATTTCTATTCTATGATGCACTACTTACTTTAGATAGAATAATTTCTGGTGCAAGATATTCCGGAGTACCACACAACGTCCATGTTCTTCCTATAAAATCAAGCAAAAATATAACATACTATTTTCACATACAATGACAGACTCGAAATATATACCTTTAATCTTTTTGGCAAAACCAAAATCAGTCACCTTAATAAGAAATTAGTTTTTGTTTAAAAAAGAAGAAAAGAAAATATTATCATCTCATACCTTTAAATAGCCTTCCGCATCGATAAGTAAATTTTCGGGTTTCAAGTCACGATAGAGGATATCCAAATAGTGAAGATATTCAAATGTTAAAACGATTTGAGCAGCATAAAATCGGGCATGTTGCTCACTAGATATTTACAAAAACAATTATAAATATTATCAATCAATTGTTAAATATTCTCTAAAATACCTGAAGCGGCCAACTTTTCGCAAATGACTAAACATCTCGCCTCCTGGTACAAATTCTAATACCATATACAAATAAGAATTGTCCTAAAAATAATCAGAAAAAAAAGACGTAATTTCAGTTGTGTAAATGAAGTCTAGTTTTACTGATCGTACTTTAAAATGATGTTCTAAATTGACCAAAAATGGAAAACTAATAGCTTGTAATATTCGTTTTTCATTCAAAGTATGTTCAACTTGTTTCAATTTTACTACCTAAAAAGTTAGATCAAATTAATTTTCTTGGACAATATAAGCGAGATATGTCGGCATTTTAGTTATTCTTTCTCTAATTGTCAGATATTACTTTTTTCAAATAAATTAAAATAAATGACAATGTCATACATGTTTATACAAAGCGTTCTCAATTAAAATCTGATATTGTAAATGTTTCTTTCAACAAGCTTGTACATATAAAGTCTTTGGATTTTAAAATAAATGATAATATACGTTTTTGTCTTTTATCTACAAAACTGTTCATTTTTTCCAAGCATCGAATGGTATGATTGATAAAACATTCTGTTTAAGCATAATTCATTGTTTTTGTAACAAAACAGATTCTTTGACGTTCATACTTAATTGTTTTACTTTATTTATGAATTCTCAGTTTCTTTCTCATAATGAACAAGACATGTATATCATACTTTTTGTTTGTCGAGTATTTTCATCGCATAAAAGTTTCCAGAACTTTGATGTTTGACCAGCATCACCCTCCCGAATGAACCTGTCAAAGAAGAAGAAGAAAGATATTAATTGGCACATGAACAATTACTATATACATTACCTGTTCCAAGTGTTCGAATTCGATCAAAATCATCGGTTTTTGCTGTGTTCTAAATCAACAGATAACAAAAAAACCTTAGAACAGTAGAGAAGAAATTATAAACGTCGAAAAAAGCGTTGGAGTACCGAAGACTATCATAGTCCGACTACAACACATTGTCATAATAGCTAATTTTATTATCAATTTATCAACATTTCAGAGAAATCGTTATAAAAGAACGAAAATGTTGTTGTAGTAAACCAGTGAAAATCCTCACCTTACTCGCCATTGGATTCAATGATTTTGAAGCATTTGAGAGTATGTTCATTCCATATGCCTACTCTCAAAATGTTTGTGTTTTTTTTTATTTCTGCATGAGTAATAAAAACGGAATAAATACTTAGTTTCCCATTATTTTATTTTTTTTTCTCTACAACATGGTTAAAGATAGTTCATATCTCTCGCACTCTCCAGAGAGTGAGAGATCGTTCACTACATATTTTTCGTTCACTAATTATATTCTTCTTCTTCTTTTAATGAAATAGAACCATTTTAATAATCATGGGCAGATGTGAACTTCTTTTTCTCCTTCTGTTTATGACAATCGCCTTTTTTTGAGATTTTACTTATAGTTTTTCACTGTTTAGCCATGGGAAATTTAACGTTTGTAAGCAACATGATTCTATGCTAAAATTAAAATTGCTTACTTGAGTAGGTTTGTCATATTTCACTTGAAATTCGTCTTTGGCTTTTGCCAGAAAAGCTTTCACTGAAAATTGAGATATCATAGTATTAGATTGTGACACTGAGCATTATTATAAGAAAAAGAAATATGTGGAATTGAATAAATCAACAAGTGTTCAATAAAAGTATGCTTATACTAGTCACAAAAATCTGGTGGTACAACGAATAGCAGAGAAAAAATAGATTACAGCATCAATCATAAAGATATATCTCTTGTTCTATTTCTTTTTTCCTTTTCTCTATAATCAACATGGCACAATTCTTTTTAAAATCTTTTTTTCTCATTTTCAATGACAGGTTATGTTGAATCGGCAAACAACGTGAAACATGATGGAGAGAGCGGGATAAAAAACACGACAAACTAAAGAGTATTTCACATAAATTTTTATCTTTAGAGAGTATCAATAGTGTATAGGACACAAAACACTCAAAGAACTATTTGTTAACGTACGGTACATCTATAATATATGAGTTAATAACAACAAATTTTTTTTTTAGAATGATTTATTTAGTTTTTAACACAAGGACAGTATACAAACTTATTTCTGTTCATTTAATCAAAAAAAAAAATCTTTTATATATTATATGTAAATCAGCGATAAATCTATACGTGCAGTTTTACAATTTGAACAACATACACTATTATTGTTGACGTATGTCGCATAAAAGAACTACTAGGGTACGAAATAGAAAAAAATTAGTTGTGTCACAGCTGCAATTTTCTGTAATGATTTAATAGTCATAATCTCAATCAAAAATCGTTGATATAAGACGTTGTTGTCGTGTTTTTTTTTGTCGTTGAAAAACTAGATTTAAGTTAAAGAAAAGAATGAAGTATTTATATCCAATCTAACAAGAAATAATTGTCCGTACGATAAGTAGAAAACATAAATCTTAAACATAAGTGCTTATCGTTTTATAAGTCGTAAGCTTAGAGAAAAATGCATCATTCATATTAATAAACACGAAGATTAAATCTCTCTTACTAGAATTAATTGCAGCTGTTGTAGATGGAAGAGCCGCTGCGCACATGTTTTTTTTATTTTATGAGTTTTTTACTTTTTGTGTTATGATTATAGATTTTTAAAATAAAATAAAATTTTTTATCGTATCATAACTTGTTAAATTTATTTTTTTTGAAAAAGAAAAACACGATCAGAAGTAGTATGAACGACAGAACATAGAGAACAAACGAATAAAAACAGTTCTCTACCATCAGTAACCATACGGTTTTTTGAAGGTACGGTGATTATATGGTATTACTAATGTAAAAGAAAAAAAAATGAGTTCCTCTCCTTCTTCTTTCAGTAATAACCACACAACTATTTTTTGTTGAAATATGCAATTACTAAAGACTAACAACAGTGTCAAGTGGTATGGTTATTAACTTATACTCACTTCAGAATTATTAAACAATCTATTCATAGATTAACTAGTTGTCCGTACAAAAATGAGAAGAACCGAAAAAATATGTGTGTAACAAAAAAATCAGGAGTTTTCGCCCGTTCCTTATTAAATAAATACAGATTGTGGTAAAATCTGGATACGTGAAGAAATATGTTGAAATTTCAGTAGAATAAGCAATATAGATTAGGATCATCTTGATATTCTAAAAAGAGCATGGGTTTATTTTATCATTCAGTGTTATAAAAAGAACATGTGATGATGTTACAATTTTGTAAACATTTTAGAGGGATCACACACATAAGTTCACGACAAGATGTCTTAAAAGAGCTTACCAAATGACTTCATGTTGTATACTGAGACAAGCTGCAACTAATTATTTATACCAATATGGTGTGAAAAAGTTGTACATAGTTGTTCTGAATACGAACTGATAAACATCTTTGTTCGTTGTCTGTCAATTCACACAACTTTTAGCCTAAACCGATATTTTGTCAATAATTTGTAATAGATTGGAAGAATAGTGCAAATGAATTTTTTATACTTATAATTGTTCTAACTTGACTAATTTTTATTATTTATTATCTGACGAGTTAATGAACCAGTTTTCTATGAACATAATCAAAACATTGCTTCTCTACGTGTTAACTCAAAACTCTCGATGAACAATGAACAATAGACCAGATGTCGCTTACTGTCGATTGTCAGTTGTCAATTTGAGACGTTATAATTGGCTTTAACATTATGCAGTACAGTTCTATATTTTGTGGTTTTTTAAAAGAAAGATCATACTCATCATTATTACTATTACTTTATACTACACATTACAATGGCTACGTTTAAATAAAAATTATATTTACTTCGTTCCTCTCTCGTTGAGCCTGTGGGTATTTCGAATCCAGTTAGTGTTCAATAATGTAACACTTTTACCTATACTTATAACTTAGAAATAGATCTTTTCCATTATATTTACTATTTTTGTAGACCAAAGTGAATCTTTGCTTTGTTAATTCTTTTTATCTCTAGTGAAACACACAAGTCTATGATATAATATTGAGATCAAATAGTTTAATATAGCTTTCTCGTTTCTATCTATCGGAAACAACAATATTAGTAAACTAAATAAAAAAACAAATTGTTAAAAGAAAAATATTTTTTCATTGTTGAATATTCTCAATTTTATTGAAAAGCAGAAAGAAAAAATTATGACTATCGTGCGTGATTGAAATAAATGGTGTTTGTCTTATAGGATTCAGTTAATAGCTTGCGTGCCAGGAAGAACAGATATTTTCCATCTAAAAGATTTTCACATATATTGTGCAAATTAGAAGACTTTAATACGTCAATAATGTGAGCTGAAAAGCAACTATTTGTATATAAGAGAAAGAGGCTTAAAAAAAAGTCTCTACTAAATCTATAGCATTTTTCATCATTTTTTCGACTCTTAACGATATTGGCAGACGCTTCTATTCATAAACGATAAAATATAAGACATGTACAGAATTTACAAAAACTTGCTTTGTGTGTAAGCAGTTGGTAAAACATGTAGCACCCCTTGAAAATAAGAACAATGAGTAACAAAAATAAGTTATATGTTTTTTTCTTCTTTTTTTTTTAAATAATCAACTTTCTAGTGGTAAAAATGATTAAATTAAGATTCAAAAATATTCGACTTCAATTACAGGAAAAAAGCACGTGCGTCATCATCTATATTAAATTGCGTTCAAGTAATTAGAATGAAAAGTGCCTTACACCTTTGATTGATGATAAGAGTATGAGTAAATTAAAAGAATCTATTATAATATGAAAAATGATACATCACCAAGAGGATAAAAATATTGGTTTTTAATAGATAGACCTGAGTAGGCATCCAAATGTCTTTATAATTATAAAAGCATACATTTCTATTTCAAGTAGACTCAAGCAAAACAGATTTAAGTGTACTTCAACAAGATGAGAGAAGAGGAAGAGAGAGAAAGAGTGAGTTTCATATTTCTCCATGCGATAAATATACATATATTTGGTTTTTAAATGTCAGCGAAAGAGAAAAAGATCGTGAATGACGTTTCTCATGTTGTTTTGCCTGTAATAATGTCAATTTAATATTATGGCTAAATCTCACACAATCCTTTATCTTCCTTATCAAATATAACACATAAGTTTTTACATCAATTTATTCTAACTCTAAAGCTATGTCTGATACAAGTGTATTTTAACACCCTTTAGATGCTTCCGATCAGATCTAGACATGCATCAGCTATGTAACTGGACTAAAGATATTTACAAAAAAATATTGTAGTTCTACAACGACTAATTTTGATGTCAAGGACGTATCTCATTTTGCAGAAAAAGATTTAATCTAAAATTCGGTGCGAATGAAACAAGTTTGTCATTAAAAGTAATAAAAGTACATCAACTTAAAAAATTGTATCCTATTTACCTTTTTTTAGTGATAATTATTTCTAACTGTTCATTAGAATGTCATTAGAATATCAAACAAAATTTTAACACAGTTTTACAAAATTATTTTACTCACTCACTCACGTGGGAGACAGCATGCTTGATGATTATATTGTTCATCACGTACATCAGAAGGACTGTGTTTGCTCCTTGGAGCCGGCAGAGTCATGTGATAACCTTGAGCAAGTAAGTTACTTATATCTTGGTGCCTCAGATCACCCGTTCGATAGCATAATCACTACGTTGTGACGTACAATAAGCTTCTTCGACTAGTCTTCGTGGCTTTCAGGAAAGGCAGTACGTGATTAGTGAGTATATATGGAGCGCTCAAGTAATTAGGCAAAAAAACTGTGTATCAGGCTAGCCTTTTGGCCAGAACTGCAGTTAATGACTAGTAACAAGATGAGTGACAATTTCAGAAGCTTGTCAGCTGCAGAGAAGATAGCGGGCTAATGAAACTGCCATTTGGCAGCACCCTATGTCGGTAATTGTAGTCGCAAAGCGAATATTCTTCCTTCATCCTTTCACATGGATTTTTCAAACAGCACAAACTTGAACGTTTTTAATTTTCGAAATATATTCGTTTGAACGCCTTAAGCAGTCACAAATATTCGCAAATAGTACATGCCCGGGCATTGCTCCTGCATTCCACATTCTCCAGAAAAAAAAAATAAATAAATTTCTGTTAACAAAATGAGTAGAGCGTAATACAGTACTATTACACGCTACTTTTGCCCAACTTTCTTAGCGGCACTAGACTTCATTTTGCGATCGACATATTTACTCCTTTAGTATACGATCGCTTATTGCAAGGATATTGATATCCTTGTTTGACGACCACAATAACAAATGACGATAAAAAAATTAAAAAGAAATTAAACTCAAGTGGTGTTTTTGTTATGATTATTTTCAATTACTTTTCATAACAGCTCATAAAAAAAACAGAATGAATTTCTGATAAAAATATCTCGATTTTTGTGTGTGGAATATTAGCGCGAGTCATCAATCAAAAACAAAACAATTTAATGTATCTGTTTTAATCAGTAAATGAATGCTTACCCTTGTCTAATGATTGTGAATTACTTGTTGGTTGTTGATGAGCTGTTTCTGTATCATCCTTATCTTTTCCTATATGAAGAACTGATTTTTTATCTTTATCTTTGTCCTTGTCTTTATCTTTATCTTTGTCTTTTTTAGATTTGTCAGTTTTAAATTTTTCTCGAAGCGCTTGCATTGTTTGTATTAAAGAGAAAAGATGATGATAATAATGGTGGTAGTAATGATGATTTGTCGAGTATTGTATTTATGTTTCGGAAGGATGCGCCACACCACTTAGCTCTTATTCTTTTTCACTTGCTGAGAAATGCAATGCAACGCGACAAAAATATACTAAAAAAAATATTGTTTGTGCTATTGGACTATGTATAATTTTATCTGAAGAGAGAAAGAAGAGGAAAAAAAAAATATGAGAGAAAAAGAAGAAAAGACTATTGACTTGTTATGTGTTATATTGTTGCATAGAATAATAATAATAATAATAATAATAATAATAATAGTAATGTTTCAAACCCGTGGTAGAATATCATGATACGAAGACAAAACATGGGCCTAAGATACGGACAGTGATGGACTCTCACGCGTCTTACTCATCCATTATACACTGTACTGGTTCTCCTCTCCTTGATTTTATATTATTATTTTGTTTTCTTTCTTTTTCTTATTCTTTTGATACATATTCTTTATAGATCTTTGCTGAATTATATTCTCATTTTTTTTCTACTTTTTTTGTTTTGTTTTTTAAATCAAACGAAAGTATGATGTTTTAGTTCCTTTCTTTTTTTTTTTTCGTACGAGTATAAATACCCAAATAATATGCTGTCTTATTTTTAGTAAAATTGTTGAATATATATATATATATATATATATATAAGCGAGACAATTTATAATTAGTATCCTTTTCTTTTCTTTTATTTATTCCTGTACATGTGCATAGGTATCATTTTCTACCTTGATTATTTCTACTTTCAAAACATTGATAAATACATATTTATTAAATGGGGATCTAAAGAAAAAATATAAAAAATTTTCTGCACATTGCTCTTTTCGAGCGTCATTATTACGACACGATCATTATCGTAAATGTGACTTTTTTTTCTATCTTCTTTCCTTCCGTTTTCAATTCAAAAATGTTTGATATAGAAGATGGCAAATAGTCAATTGTTAAGTCATAATGTAGAAAAAATATATGACGTTTTAGTTCCGACATTTTTTTTGTACGAGTCAGATTATTACGTCCAATTATGTATATTTCATCATCACTATGTCATTACTTTCTCGATAACTGACGATGATTTTTTTCTCTTTATCAGCATATTTTCTCACTGACTTAGTTCTTTTATTGCATTTGTGATTTCGTGAACTTAGCTCTAATTGTATCTTCTTCTTAAAACAATCAAAACAATGGAATGAGAATTTATCGTGCATATCATACAAATCGAAAAATAATAATATGAAAAAGTTCTTCGTTATATGTTCTCTGCAGATATTTCTTTCTAATGTTCTCTAGAAATAGAAACAAAACATTCATTCTTAACAGATTTAAAATAATTATGATCATTCTTATATTTAACACTCGAATCAATATCATAAATTTGAAATTTGAAATTGTCTTGATCAATTTCAGTTTTTTTGAAGATAAATAATAGTTGTGATGATATTACTGTTCATAGCAAAGACGATTTTTGATGCATTAAACTCTTTAACAAGGAGAAGATTATTATGCTATGGCAAAATGACAAATACGGTAAGTAACATCAACTTTTAAACTATAACACGATGTTCAAGAGAAATAAATGTAACAACTACTGTAAATGAAGAGCTACGATTTAAAGAGGAACTAAATTGATCACTCATAGTATGGTTAGTATCTATATTTAATCCTTTGCATAGTTTGTATCATCAACTAATGACACCGATAGAAGAGAAAAAAATGATAAAATCAGAATATTGGAAAATTTTAAATTAAAAATGATGAAAAAGATGACATGCATAGCTTTAGCTAAAGTTTTTCATGCATTAGTTATACAAACAATATTAGATCTTAGATCTAAATTGTGTGTTTCCTCGATCTAGTTTTTGGCGATGTGAATCTATAATTCCTGTGCATACAAGATTTCATGCATTAACGTGAGTTATTCTTTGAAAAAAAAGGTACTATATCCTATGCTCTATGAAACATTTTTTCTGCTCGAAAGTTTATCACTTTAAAACATCGTTGATCTTGAAAAAGCAGTTAATAACCATTACTAATTCGATTAATTCCATAGTTTTTTCTTATAGGCTTCTATTTCATAAAACTATCTTGAATCATTATATACAGAATCTTTTACCAAGAATCATAATCAATGGATAACTTAGTTACAATAACATCTGTCGTTTAAGTCTTACTATAATAGAAATATATTCCGTACAAGAATTGTTAACGTAGGAGTTATATTAGACTCTGACTCTGCTGATAAACTTTCATCATTTTATGTGCAAAAAATTTATACATTTTGTCTTCTCTATCGACCAAATTATATATTTCTGTCCAGGTTTGCGATTTTGTTTTATTGTGAACTTTTAAAATTTAAGGTCAATCACATTCTCGGAAGATAGAGGTTATTTGTTTAATTGAATAAATAGAATATTTCATTGTTATTGAATAACTCGCACATAAATTCAGCTATTTTTTTACCATTACAATACGACTATCTTATTGGCCTCCTATATTTTAAACGATTTTCAAAGATTTGTATATCAATTCTATAAGGCATTTATTAACTAAAAAATAGTCGGAAGGTGAATGCATATTTAACATAAAACATAAATCAAATGTAGTTTTATCTCAATAATTCATTTCTATATATTTTACTATTGCGTAACGAAACTAAACGTAATTATGCTACGGAAAAGAGTCAAACGGATAGCGTTTTCTTAATTGATTCCTAAACAAGTGAAAAAATTTCGTTTAGTTCTATTTGAAAATATTTCTCAAAAAAAAGGTGCGTTATGCTTCTTTAAAGTAATCGCGCGTTCCCAAAACTACAGAATGCGTTCCACTTTTCGAGAATGGATTCAGTAGTGATTTCTTGTTGAATAGTCTTACATGAAATCGAGATGTGTTAGAAGCAAACATTAAGCTTAGAACTCTATAATCAATGTAAAAAATGAAAAAAAATACGTTGCTTGTGGGTATTTCTTGCGTCTACTTTATCCATATATCGTTGACCAGCATCTTATTCTACTTTTTTTTACCCATTCTATATGAGTGTTCTACGTAGCCATCTCAAACTAGCCTACACATCGTTTTGAATGATCAGCTTAGTCTCATTACATAGAAAGGCCGCTCTATATTTTACACTATGTTTCGAAATCGGTTGGCTTTGGCGCCACCTATATAAAGTGGCGAAACCATAGAATAGACAAGTATATGTTAAGTAACAATGTGAGCTGCGCTTCTAACTTCTAAGATAAATGTTGGGATCCGATTTGTATTTTTTCGAAATTATCATATATTAATAGTCGAAGTCATTTCCTTCGCGTTGTTCTCTCTGTCTCTACGTAGTACTTAAATACTTATAACTTTAAAAGTTTCCTCAGTTACAAGGATTATTTTAATATATAATGAAAAATAAAGTCAGAAACAGAAAAAGAAAATGTTTTTTGAGAAGTTTGATTTATCGTATATTCGCACTCGTTCTTTCATGTTCTTTCTTCTTCTACTTTTAATTTGTGACAACTCGCACACTATATATATGTATATATATATATATGCATGTCAAATCTGTTTAAAATATTTCCCTGTTCAGTGCCGTTTTTCTTCCTTTTGTAGCATTTAATTATTAAAGAATAATAAAAATATTTAATTTGAACTGGCACACGATGTACAGAAGTCAAAATCAAACAGATTCGTTTTTACAAAAGCAGTTAATATCATTTTGGTGTCAAAATAGACTGCATCTTTCTTAAGTTTACATCCAAAATCAAAGCTTAGTATTCATTTCATCTGATCTAGAATTGGATGTGACGTTTTAACTAAGACTGTGCGCAGTGATGAATTAAACATCAAGTGTGGCCATAAATACTGCCGAGAATGCATGGCATTATTTTTCGATGATTTTTTAGTCATCCGTACCCATTCGAAAATTTTTCCGGGTCTACTACTGTCTTTGGGAGGACAGAAGTTTTCAGTCAATTTTCCCTATCAAACAACTTTTGTATCAATTAATAAATACTTCAAATCATTTCTATGGATTCAGTGGCTCCAAGTATGTTGAGATCCGAATCTCTCATACCAAGATAGCCAGTGGCATCAAATTCTACGATCATAGCTCTCAATAGTTGTTAATCATCCAACTAGTTTGTACCTCTGTGACTTCATGGTTCGTGAAATATGAGCACATCATCTTTCTCTCGATAGAATACTGAGAACTTCTGATACAGGAGAGATGAAAACATGATCTTTGGACTAAAACATAGCTATAATTCCTTTCTCTACTTAGGGTAAAAGTTTAACGAGTTTGTTCTAAATGCTTAATGAAGTCGAGCGATTTAGTGAGACTGAGTTGTTTTTGTAATTTGAGGTCTTGTGTTGAAGAAGCTCATAACTCAGATTTCGAAACAGCATCATAATTCAACAAAATCATGAAATATTTGTGTATTTATGTTGATTATTTTCCTATAGTTTAAAAGTTAATTATTGTATGGTGGTAGAAATGAGTTAAGAATTGAATAGACGGTAATGTTACTTAAGATGAGAGATGCGCTTGAGCAACTTAATGTATATGATCATAATCATGCAAAAATGTCAATAAGATTATGATGACAAAAAGTGTAAGTGAAACGTTATCAGAAAATATTTAATATTCTGAATTACAGCGCTTTCACCACCTTATTCTATCCTATTTGTGGAAAGAAACAAAAACAATATAAACATTAGCGATTATAAGATTTAAGTGTCGCTTTTTTGAACTTCATATCACTTAAGTGTTATAATCACTGAATGTATTTCTAATGAAACACCATACTTCATTTTATCGTCAACTAAAAACACTTTACGATGATGATAATCAATTTATTTAAAACTATAAATATTAATAAAATAGTAATTTCGTTTAGTTCTTTAAACTAAATCATCGATTTAAAATATATAAATAATAAATTGAATGATTACTGAAAATTTTACGATATGTA